TACCCTGTCTTTGTAATAACTGCTATCCTCTTGACAAGCATAAAATAATTGATAGTTTTAATAGAATTTGCATTATCTTTTATCTTTACGTTCCGCTATATAGATGATGTCATTTCACTAAATAATTCAATGTTTGGTGACTATATTAAATGCACATATGCCATCGAACTTAAAATAAATGATACAACAGATACGGACAAGTCTTTATCATATCTTGACTTACATCTAGAAATTTAAAATGAGGGTTGATTGCGAACAAAACTTTACGATAAAAGAGATGATTTCATCTTCCATATTTTGAATTTTCCATTTCTATGAAGCAACATTCCATCTGCGGCTGCATATGGAGTATGCATCACTCATTTGATGCGATATTCCAGAGCTTTTGTTTCCTATCTTAGTATCTTTGATAAAAGATTGCTGCTTACAAGGAAACTAATCAAGAGTTCCAAGTGGTGAAGTTGAAATCATCCTTTAGACAAGTATAAAGTGGCCATCATGCGTTGGTTGGAAGTTGTGTAACATCTGTTTCATGGATGACGGCAGATGTGTTTCAATTGTCGGTTTTTAAATGAGTTCGTGGTGCTGCTCAGTGTTTCGTTGTCTATGGTGTGTATTGTATATTGTTATTTGTCTTTTCATCGTTTGTCGTATTGTGCCATGGCCGTTTGATAGTTTATTTTCGCCTAAATGAGTTTGATTATCCCTTCGGACGCATGAAATTATTAAACGTGTTGTTTCCAATTTTTTGCCTCTTCTATAATCAACTTAAAATCCCAAAATAATTGTTGTTTCTTTGTATTAGCAGTTTCCCGACTGACCAAGATCAGTATAATTCATGAAGACACTGCATGTGTATACCTTCTTGACAAAAAGTCTGTTTGAATGATTGAAATGAGTTATTTGTTGTAGTTCTACTTTAAATGATATTATTGTTTAATTAAAGGCAAGGGATGCTATTTGATAAATTGTAAATTGTTTACATTTGAACACAATTGCATTGTGTAATCATGTATTCGAACAAAATGTCTTACCGAATAAGAAATATGATAGAAATATGTAACTAGTAAATCAAGTTGCATAGGTCAAAGAGAGAGGTAGTGAAAAGCCATGGTTAAGTAAAAAATGGGAAAAAAAACAATGGATAATAGATAACAACATGAAAAAAAAAGAACATGGGGCAAATTGGAAAATAAGACAATCACGTGTCACCTGTAAACTTTACGCGTTACCATTGTTTCAAAACGAGTAGTCATAGTCCTTGAAAATACTTCATAAAAACTTTGCAGGTGTCTATTAACTACCCGTAGAGGTAAATAAAAGATTTATAACAGGTACATGTTCCTTTTGAAACTTAATTATCTGTAATAGTGAAATACATTTACAAAATTGATATTTTGTTTATTTCTAAGAAATATTGGATTTTATGAAAACAGTGGCTTTCAGAACGTGCAGATCGAAAATGAGTACGAGGAAGTTATTAGTAGATCAAGTAGGTCACGTATAATGCACTAAGTACAATTCTTCTAAAAACCATATGTACCGAAATAAAAATGTGATTTTTTTCTCGTCACTATGTTTACACTAACTTCACACCTAAAAGAGCATAAGCTATGAATTCGACAAAAAAAAATGAAATATGACAACCATTTATGAAAGACGAATAGAGAAATACTATTTTGCTATTGGCAGTCCATTTTGTTTAATTTCGTCAAAATATACCAAAAAGACATCACGAGTGTATTATTAACTTGTATGTCAATAATTCAACTCCATTGGAACTATATTTATTTAACCTTATTTGACCTTTAGACAAGATGGATGCATTTAGCATTTGGTGGTCAGCATGTTGATTCATTATGTCAACATTCAAATGAAACAAAGAAGACACTAGGAATAACCATTTCGTTGACTAGTCATGCCCACAAAAATCATTCTTTTACAGATAAACCGAAGATTCACATACATCTTAAACCTATAACATGAAATCAAACAAACCTAAAAAAATTTGATTGCACGTGCTGACTTTCTATTCATATTGATATTTTTGTTTAAATTGCGTTAAATGATCGTCGATAGTCTTTGGAGGTATTCCTATTGGCACTAATCGCGCCCCTTTAATAGCAGACTTGTTTTTGTATCACAGTTTATGACCAAACTCAGTAAAGACCCGTCTAAATTGCATTTAATTGATAAGTTCAACAACACTTACCTTTATCTTGATGATATTTTTTCGTTAAATAATCAAGAATTTTCTAAATATACTGCCGAAATTTACCCAAAGGAACTTACTTTAAATAAATCAAATGTGAACGGTAATAACTGTCCTTTCCTAGATTTAGATATTTCAGTTTTACACGGGAAACTCCACTCTAAAATTTACGACAAAAGGGACGATTTTTCGTTCCCTATTGTTAATTTTCCTTTTTTGGATGGTGATGTTCCTTTGTCACCATCTTACGGTGTTTATATATCACAACTCGTTCGCTATGCCCGTGTCTGTTGTGACGTTTTGGATTTTAATGAACGTAATCTATGTATTATTAGTAAATTATTAAGTCAGGGATTTCGTTACCACAACTTACTTAAAACCTTTACTAAATTCTTCCATAGATATAAAGATTTGGTTTTGAAGTTTGGTTGTACCTGTAGAAAACTTATTTCAAACGGGATAGCACATCTTCATTGTTACGGAGATGTTGTTTACTGTGCCTGGAAATTTAAAAACGATCCTGGTAAACTTATCAATCCTTTAAATAAACTTATTCTAAAAGATTACCAATTCAACACTGTAATTAGAACTTTGAATATTGTTTTTATTGGTATTAATATTGATTTTGTTATCAGTAAATTAAAAGCAAACTAAATATTATTGGTATATACATATGCACATTCATGGATCTACAATCGGTTGATACCTGTATCTTAGCATTCCACAAGATCATGTTTTTCTCTGACTGTTTATGACGTCTTTTCACTAAATCGATTGGATGTTGGATGTGTAATGATTGATAATTTAGTTTTAGATACATGATTTTTTATTACTTGTTATTGGCTTTGAACTAGCTGTCAGTAACTGCAAGTACTCTCAGATCTGTACTTAGTGTCTTTTTGTTGTTGTGATGTACAAGTACCCGGCCACGTCCACTCTGTATTTTTGTTAGATGTATTTCTATTTGTATCCATCTGATGAGTTAAGCCTTTTTCAACTGATTTATATAGTTCGTTCTTATGTTGTACTGTAACACCACTGTCCCAGGTTAGGGGGGGGGGGGGGGGTTGGGGGGTTGGATCCCTCTAACATGTTTAACCCCGCCACATTCTTTATGTATGTGCCTGTCCTAAGTCAGAAGTCTGTAATTCAGTGGTTGTCGTTTGTTGATGTGTTACATATTTGTTTTTCGTTCTTTTTTTTGTACATAAATTAGGCCGTTAGTTTTCTCGTTTGAATTGTGTTACATTTGTCATTTCGGGGCCTTTTATAGCTGACTATGCGGTATGGGCTTTGCTCATTGTTAAAGGCCATACGGTGACCAATAGTTTTTACTTTCTGTGTCATTTGGTCTCTCATGAACAGTTGTCTCATTAGCAATCATACCACATCTTCTTTTTTATATTTGGAGGTCTAGTCGGTGGATAATAAGATAGCGTCTGGCGACAATACACAGGAAATGCTGAAACATTATACATGTAATAGCGAACCAATGAATCGATAATTGTTTCTTTTTGGATTTTTATAATTTGGATATATGTTTTAGTATGTTATAGATAAAATATGAGAATTTGACTGTTAACGCTCCTTAAATGCTGTCAAGAATAATAAATGCTTTTTCAAATACAATGCATTAATCGCTTTGTGAAACATTCATGTACCTTAACACAAGCGAAGTAGTTACATTTACTAACATGTTTATTCTTCTTTAAATAGATGATATATTTGTTCCCGATACACAACAAAAACAGTAAGTACGATGGAAAGTTGCACTCTTGCAATAAATCGTTTTACATTTCGTATAATATCTGATTTCGTACCAAGATATTTCAAGGTGATTTGATATTCATTTTTTCTAAAGTTGGTCCAAAACAAGAAAACTAAAAGATAACATTTTCTCTATTATTTAATATTATTGCAACAAAATACATTTCGGAAAGACTTTCATTCAAACAATGACGTTAAACATCAAACTCATCTGGAAGGAAATAACAACAAACATAAATTTTATACAAAAAATGTAGGTAAAGTTTCGGGTACGGGGGTTTTGACAGCAAAAGGATTACGGAAATGAATATGCTGAACAGGGAAGAATTCAAAATTATCAACAGTATACACGTATTAACAGTTTAATTAGCACTGCATTTTTTATGAATACACATTAAAATACCAAGATTCTCCTATTTTGATCATGTTGGTTCCATTATTAATCTCATCATAGGTATCAGCATAACAATTTGATACGCCAGACGCACGTGTCGAAAACAAACGACTCATTAGAGTCGCTTGAATCAAAAATGCTAAAAAAGGCCAAATAAGGTACGATGTTGAAGAGCATGGAGGACCCAAAATTCTGGAACGTTTTGTGTATTTCACTTTAATATAGAATAAATTAATATGAGTATTTTGTGCATATTGCAGAACTATTAAAACCTATGATTCACTTGGAACCAAAGACGCTGTTGACGCTTATGATGATTTAGAGAACCATAAAGGTGTGTGAAATATATTGTTTTTGTATAAAATTTCACAAACATATATATATATATATCTGATGTGCAAACGGTTGTAGAACTATATCAGTTTGTTAAATTTAACAGTGAGTCGGAGGATACAAACTAAGACAAAAAACCAACAAAGAAAAAAAAAAGAAAGTTAATTTCATAGTTTTGCATATCTTGAATTTGTTTTATCAGTTGTCGCATTTCTTATGAAGAAACACACCTCTCTTTTGCCTGAAAGAGGGTTTTAAATTAGATCAATAACAATTGTTGTTTGCATATATTGTAGGCCTCCCATCGTCTAAATCGTAAGTTTTATATGGATATATAATGTATACAGCGCAGAATTCAATAATCCATGTTCTGCACGATACCAATTACAGCAATAAAAAGACCTTCGGATATTGAGGAATTATGTGTCCTTTTTTCAGTTATAAGCGATTATCGCTATTTTATGATTTTTTCCATTGATCTTTTTTTGCGATAATTTTTCATATCATCCTACTTGCCGTTGTCCATATAAACGACGTCATAGGCAAACAGAATATCATTTGTCTCGAGGATTTTTCTCTGCCACATCGGCTGTCGCCCTTTGATCAAATTTGTAGCTGAGAAACAGCCTCTCGTTTGAAAAACATCGGTAATCTATAAACAGTAATATCCAAACTACGGTTAGAACGTTTTAGTTCATATCATGGATCTCTGCTCGAACGCATGAACAAAATATGTATAAATTAAAAAGAGCCTAAAGGGCATACGATTTAGTTGTAAGAGCAGATAATAATGTATCCAAATTTAATGCGTTGTTTTCGCAACGTTGCTTATGATATTCATCTAAAATAGCAAAATAATCAATTGCGTTATTAAACAGTTACGCGAATTTGAAATATTGGCAAAAGAAAACGACCTTGTTGTTTATTTAAGCACGCAAATGCTACTACGAGGGAAAGGGGAGGGGGGGGGGGGGGGGGCGTAAAAGGCGATGCATTTAAATGAAACATGTTTACTTTTGTATCCTAAATACACCCGTTAATGACAGTGATTCGTGTAGATAGGCGGTTTACGGCGGGAATAGCTGCACGACGATGTTGCGATAAGAATTCTTTACGATGTAATTTAGCACAAACAAGAGATATGGGATTTCAAGCATTATCAAGTTAGGCTTTCCATTCCTTCCTAGAAAATCAGTACATGAATCCCAATTTGTTTCTTTGTAATCGACTCCTTTAAGAATGTTAAATCAAAATTGCAAGAAAAAAAAAATCAACGGTTGAATTTTATCTATAATTTATACATTTATATTGGCAAAAATGATTTCACAAACTTTAATCGCCTTCAGTCTTCATCTGAGGAAGTATCATCAAGGCCTATAAATAAAGAAATATTTTACAAACAACTAGGAGAAACTATCTGCTTTCACCTCACAGTTGTGTTATTTCTTTCTCAGGAAAGTATTGAAAATTTTTGGCAAGACGTTTTTTTACAGTGCCATTTGCAGTTCCCCAAGCTTCCATTCTTGTTTATTGCCTTTTCAGAACTTACACAATAAATGTCTTTTTTAATGTAATCCTGTCATCATTATTAATACAATATTTGGAACTGAAGGTTTAGGCGTTCCGGATTTTCTGGAATAATTTGTTCATTTATTCCGATGCTATGTTAACGCATAGTATTCGTTCGATTCTAGAGAATTTGTTACTCCCAAATGTTATTTTATACATACAACAAATGGTATATACAGTCGAGATATATGGATTGAAATCGCTAATAGCCATATTTCGCAGTATTTAACTAATTAACGTGAAAACTTGAATCTTATATATTTACGACAATCACTCTTTCATTATCTATAACTTATTTACACGTTTACGATCAACGGCACACATGATAGTTCCTCGGTAATTAGCTGGCAAATAGATTAAAACCAATATAATTTAAGAACCCTGATGTGTTTTCCACGGTATAGCCCAAAAATAACAGAAAACTAGCATAAAATAGTAGAATATAGAGTTGTACAATATAAAAGCCAATTTTTTAACATATTTTGTTTGAAAAATTTTCCTAGGTGAGGTTCATTAATACGGGATAAAAATTGACACTGTTTTGTTCGTTACTTTATAGTTAAAAGTTAATAAATATAAAACAAAGATTAAAATGTATTTTGTATTACTTTTATTATAAGTAGTTTTCAACTCTTTTTGATGTGATCATAATGGTAAGTGTTTTTGTTTTCATTTTTCATTTGTTTTTAAATATGATATTGATAATTTCGTCTACTTTTGACTTTCTTAGTTTAAATAGATTTTATACATTTATAAAGTAGATTCGTATATCATTCAGATTCATCTATTTTACTCATAGAAGTCCCATTTTGATTACAGTTTTATATAGAATAAATTAATATGACTTGTTTGTGCATTTTGTAGAATTAGTAAAACCTATGAATCACTTGGAACTAAAGACTATGTTGAAGTGTATGATGATTTAGATAATCATAAAGGTGTGTAATAGAATATTACTATAGAACACATTATTAAGCTAGCTATAAAACAAGGTTTAATCCACCATTTTCTACATAAGAAAACGCCTATACCAAGTCAGTATTATAACAGTTGTTATCCATTCGTTTGATGTGTTTGAGCTCTTAATTTTGCCATTTGATTAGGGATTTTCAGTTTAGAATTTTTCTCGGAGTTCGGTATTTTTGTTATTTTACCTTTTACGTGTACACGTATACCTGGTGCGCAATTAATTGTAGAATGATGTGAGCTTAATATAATTTGAGTGAGTTACAGAATACAAATTATTGCGGTAAAACAAACAACAAATATCAAACGATTAATATATAAGAAGAAAAAGAAGTAAATAACTTATTGTTGTTTTCTTAAATTGGGTTTACTTAAAAAACAGTATACATTTAGTATCCGGTGAATCTCACAAGTTCTTCTGAATAATGCTTACATGTAATACTAAAAAGGATATGCAGTGTATTGATATATTAGAATAGCATCTATGCATACTTTTCGCTGTTATATATAATATTAATTCTTCAAAACTGAAATAAATTTACCACACGTTACACACAAGTTCAAGTTGACGTTTTGTACTTATACCTCCATAATAAATGTAGTAGATACTTGTTTAAAACAAATCATGCATCACAAATTGCATAATAGAAAATTTGTTATTAGAACAATCGCAATTGATATTTGTATATCTTGTAGGCCTGCCATCGTGTAAACCGTAAGTTTTCATATGGATAAAAAAAAATGGATACGTACATATGCATATCTTTAAATCAGCCATTTCCTGTAAAAATACAGGAGTACAAATTAAATAAGGAGATATTTGGAAACAATCAAATTATGTTTCCTGATATCTTTTATCTGTAATAAGCAAACAGTAATATTCAACCTGCGTTGAACGTCGCAGTGCTTATATTTGATCACAACGTGAAAGCAATAAAACATCCGACAAATTACGTTTGAGAAAATAACATTGGCCTTCAAAAATAACAGCAAAATCGTAATAGACATACTTTGCCTCATGGAGTTGCATCTTTAATTTTAGATAAACTACATAATTTATAAATATGGAAATAAAAGTCAAAACATACCTTCAATTTATGTACGAACTGCGTCACTGAAAACTTACTACTCAAGGATATACTAGAACACCAGATGCGGTGCAGATCCAGTGGTCGTAACACGTTTTATACTGAATAACTTAGACGTGAAGTCTTTGGAATACCTGTAATAAATAACACTCGTGGTTGCAAGTTTTCAAACCACAACCATAAAACGCTTTAGAGCTTTTAAACATATACGATCTAAACAGAATAAAACTCTTCTGTAATTTGAGTATAATTTAAACAGTTATGAAATTTAAAGTAATAGTAAAAATGTATTATGTTAATCATACCAGTTAATAATGACTAGTTTTAATCTAACTTTCTCGTTTACAATCAAACGCGTTTATTGTAAAAACATTCGTAACAGATAGAACAGGATTATTCCTACATTGTTTTTTATAAATATAAATGATACCGCTTCATTTTGAACTGTTACATTTCTTCAAAATTTACTAAAATGAATAAATATTTGTTAAATTGACATTATTATTATGGAATTATTTGTATTATAAAGCATTTTAATCTTCTTTTATCGATTATAGTGCGCACAACCAATGTTTCGCACAAAACCCATCAATAGAAATTCTTCAGCTCATAAGTTTAGTACAAATACTGTTTAAAGATGTGTGCTGTATTTTTAACTTTATTGCATGTCTTTTTATCAATCTCCCTTTTATATGTATTAGTTCAGTGGACCATTATGAAGCGTTGAGTGCTCAAGATAAACCAAACTTGTATGAGGAATTAGAAAATGAGAAAGGTACTTGTTTTATTCGTAAGAATCAAAAACATAAATATAAGATGTTAAAATTTGAAATCATTTTACTTTTAAATATCAAGAACTTCTTCGGTATTCAATTTGATAACTTAATTGTCATTACAGCGCGAGATCAGAGACGGACAGTTGTTTTATTGTTTGATCATACATAAATGAATTCTAAGCATTTAATAAAATAAGATAATAGTTCTGTTAAAAAGGGTCCAATGGTAAATTAACGGTATTAACTTACTACGTTTACTAAAAAATATGAACCGAAAACAAAAAGAGAAAAAAATAGGAGAACAAGAAGAAAAAGAAAAACGGAAATTAACATGACGTCAGGACACTACGTCATTGACGTTGCTCTGGAATATCTTTATTTAGATACATGGACGCTGGTCCAAATCTTGTATTGACCTCTTGTGCAATTTGCCGCGGTGAAATTCAAGAGGATTTCCTATGCTTTCGGCCAATGAAAGAACAGAAAAATCATAGTCGTATAATAATACAAATTAATGTTTCAAGAATTTTCCAACAATGCATCGTTTCCTTTTTACCTATACTTTCGTATAATTTCGAATCTTCATTGGTATATAAGAAATAAGTTAATATTCTGTTCATTTGATTATTTGATATTTTTCAGGTCAATCAAGCAAAATATATGTCAATGAAGTATTGTGAACTAAATACTTATTTTATCAACATGGTTTTATATTGAAAACGATACAGAGGTGAATTAATCAAACTTTATAATGCAAAATAACTAATGTGCACGGTATTATATAAAGTATGGATATGTTAACTTAGTAGATCTTAACTGAAAAAAAATGAAATTGAAATAAAAATGTTTTTTATGCAAACAAAAGATCAATAACCATATACTTAGTTGTATATTATATTATGGTTAACATAATGTG